TCCTCTCCTTCGACCCGCTCGCGGTCATGGTGCTGTGCACGCTCGTGTTGCCGCAGTGGTGGTAGACGCGCGAGCACCGTGCGCGCCATCTCGTCGAAGCACCTATTCACGGTTTCCATCAGATCTTGTACCGTTGTCTTCGTATTATCGAGCCCTTCTTCTAACGTATCGATAGATTCACATCCACGGAACTGGAAATCGAGATTATCGATTTTATCCTTTATCTCTTTGTTGGCCATGGCTTTCCTCTCTTCCCTATGCTCTTTACTTTGTGGACTCGTGATGATGATGATTTTTCGATTTTTTTTTTGGATCGAAAAAATAAAAGGGAAAGAAAAGAAAAGGGAATGGGTTGGGAAAAAGACACACGATCTAACACCTCTCAATGAATGCACCAATGATGAAGATTGCGTGTCCCGACTGCCGATAAGCCGCTAGCCCATGCCTTGGATCGCCGATAGGTGTTCTACGAGCCACAACAGTGCCTCTTGGAACGAATAAAATTGCAATAGAATTTTGGTGAAAAACTAAAGCAAAGTGGAAGAACAAAAGTTCAGATTTCTATTCATAAAATTGATGATAAAAAATAACATGGGGATGGGGCCTTTATATAGGCACAAAATATGTCTAAGCCTAATCTACCTAGGGAAATAATAAGGCAATAAATTATTAGAAATCCTAAACAAGCTAGAAATCACAAAGCTAGTTGGAAACTAAATCCCTTGGCTTACACACAAGTAACTCTCTTTCTTTCTTTCTTTCTTTCGTTCGCCCCTCGCACGCCTCCCTTGCGCCAACCGCCTCGCACGCCCTAGTCCTTGAGGACTAGGGCACCGCCTCTTCGCGCGAGTGTTGTGTCCCCGGCGTGTGGCGCACGCCTACTCCTTCCGCGTCCCTTGCGCGCGTGCCCCTCCACCTCTCCGCATACCTCGAGGCATGAGGTCTCGTGCGCGCGTGCTTCCCTGGCGCGCGACTTTTCCGCGAGCGCGCTTGTAATGCCCCAAAGATTTATTAAAGACAATTCTAGATTTATAAAAAAAAAAATCTTGTTTTAAAATTTCGAAAACCATTTATCGATTCATAAAACATTTGGCATTACTTGAGAACTTTCCAAAGTTAAACACATAATCAGCATAAGGGAAACGAGAATATTCAACATAATTCAAGTTCCAAGACTAGATTTCAACATATCTAGTAATATGGTTGTCAACATAATCCAAACTGATAAAAATATTCCACATGGTTCAACAGTTCAACCAATCCCGAAAGCAATAGGGATGAATAACAAAGTCTGATAATCTCAACATAAATATCAAAGCAAGCGGAAGCAATATAAAGCAATAATAATGTTTGACCACCCACTCGTCTTCAGTCTCGTCATGCCCAACACTTGCTTAACGTGCATCAATGAAGAGCAGGTGGGGATGAGCACAAATATAAACGAGGTGCTCACCACTATGTATAATCTATTGGTAAGAATCCTATACTCGAGTCATATGCAAGTACATGGTCAAAAGACATAACACACCACTCTCCTACTCATGACTATACTCATGTGCACACCTATCAAAAGTCGCCAGGGGTAAGCCCAAACTCGTCAGCGGGAGTACAGTTGTGCCGAGGTTCAACATCAACGGTCACGGCCCATCGACTAGGCTAAAATGAGTCTACCTATCACAAGGTCGGAGATCGCCCACCACTAGGCACCGTCTCATGACTCACACATACATTCACAGACATTCAGTATAAAAATCTTACCTCAATTATAACATAGCAAATTTTAGATTAAAACCCACCTGGTATTGCGGTAGAATATTGCACACGAAAACAAGCACGTAGGTCGAGGGCTCGACTCCTCAAACACCTACATTTAAGCGAGATAATATATCAATAATATATCTCACTACTTGAATTTAACATAAAACCCATACTTAATAAAAATTAAGACTTATGGGTTTTAATCAGATTTTTCGTGGACTTGGAACTCTCTCATTTTAGAAAAATGGGACCTGGAGAATTAAAATTGAAGTTTCGGGACTTAAAATAATTTTTCCCAAAATTTTTTTATTTGAAGATAATTTTAGAAATTGAAATCGGTACGAAAAAGGAACTCTGGAACATAAATTTTTGGCTAAAAACCGCATTGGGTCTAAACATTCACAACTGGGCCGAAAATAAAGTAAATTCTAGGTCTTGTGCGCCATTGGGCCGATGGCACTCACGAAATTGGGCCGCTGGGAGGGCCTGTTACTAGCTGAGGCTAGTGGGCTGGGACTGGGCTTCGCGGGCCGCAGCTGGGGAGAGTGAAAGGGCTGCGCGCGGGCTGGGTTCGGGCCATTCGTCCCGCACGCCTTAGGAAATGGGCTGGGAAAGAAATAGTAAAACAAAAGTGTTGTCTTAAGGTTCGAACCCGCGATCTCATACACGGGAACAAGCGCTGCACACCACTGCGCCAAACGCCAGGTTCGAATTTCAAATGAAGAACTTTATTTAAAACTAAGCTTGCGAATATAGGATGAATAGTAGATTGAACAGAGTTGTTTGCAACATATTACAGACAGGTAAAATGCCCCTTCTGTACATGAACGGGTATACTTCCGGCAATATAACTTACGACTAGATTAAAATTTCAACCAATACTCAGAAAAATTTCCATAACTGGGGTGAAATAGTTATCGTCGGATTTCTTTCCGACAGACTGGGGTTGCTCGAGACAATAAGATCTTCGGGGATGGTGGAGGTCGTCGGAATCAATGGCGGATGAACTTACATGCGGCGATAACTATTTTTTTTTTAAAAAAAAAACTCAAGCAGAGAGAGATATATGACCTATGAAGAAGATGGAGTTATCTGATATGGAACTAGTCCTCCTCGGTCCGGATTATAAGTGACGAGCGATCCATCATCGATCGAACTGGGCAGGAATATCTCGCAAGAAAATCACAACGGCGAAGATAGGTGAAGGACCTGGTCAGATTATGAAGGAGATAGGCTGCGGATCCTATAAATAACTCAATTGGGCCCGATAATTCTAATAAACTGGGCTGATAGCAATATATTAGTTTGGGCTGAAAATTAATCAACTTGCACTGAAATTAATATGGCAAGGATATAAGGCTTGAATTGAGCTGGAAAAATATCTCAAAGTTCGATAAGAAAACGCGACGACGCGAATAAATATAAAAAAAATACCGGACATTATATATATATAATACACACAATAATATTATTTAATAATAACCATTTAAACACTTAATAACCATTAGATATTTAAAATAATAATAATAATAACAATAATATATACATTTAATATTAAACAATCAATAATTATTCCCAAATAATCCACAATAAAACGGGGTGTTACAGTCTATCCACCTTACAAAGAATTCTATCCTCGGAATTCGAAAACTAGAAAGCAATTAAATAAAACAAAGGGGACTCAAAACTCGAAGTTCGGATAACGCCTCCTAATCTCGGCCTCCTTTTCCCAAGTCGCCTCGGTCTCATCGTGTCGGCTCCACTGCACCTTCACTAAACTCACTGCCCGGTTCCTCAGCTGATGGACCTTCCGGTCCAAAATGGCTACCGGCACCTCCTCGTAGGTGAGGTCTCGCTCGACCTGCAGCTCGCCGAAGTCCACCACATGATCAGGATCATGCACATACCTCCGAAGCATCGAGACATGAAACACATCGTGCACACCCGACAAGTCTGGTGGTAAAGCCAGCCGATACGCTAAGTTCCCGACTCGATCGAGGATCTCGAACGGCCTGATATAGCGAGGTCTAAGTTTCCCCTTCTTCCGGAAGCGAATCACACCTCTCATGGGTGAAACCTTCAAGAAGACATGATCTCCCACTACATAAACATGCTCTTGCCTCTCCCGGTCGGCATAGACCTTCTGCCTCTCCTGGGCAGACCTGACAGTCTTTCGGATCTCCTCAACTGTCGCTGCAGTACTCTGAACAAAATCCAGACCCGTAATCCTCCTCTTTCCAACCTCATCCCAATACAAAGGAGTCCGGGCCTTACGTCCATACAAAGCCTCGTATGGGACCATCTTGATTGAAGAGTGGTAGCTGTTGTTGTAGGTCAGCTCGACTAGCGGAAGGGCATACTCCCAAGTCAGGCTTCGGTCCAAGACCACAGCCCTCAATATATCCTCCAAGTATTGGATCGTACGCTCCGACTGACCATCTGTCTCGGGGTGGAAGGCTGTACTGAACTCCAATCTCGTCCCCATGGCTCGGTGCAACGTCCTCCAAAACTGGGATGTGAACTTGGCATCTCGATCCGAAACAATCTCCACGGGCACCCCATGAACCTTAACAATGTCCTTGACGAACAATTCGGCGTAATCACTCGCCTTCATGGTCGTCCGGACTGGCAGAAAATGGGCAGACTTCGTAAGGCGATCCACTATCACCCAAATCGAATTATACCCGCCCCTCGACTTCGGCAGTCCCACTAAGAAATCCATGGTGATGCACTCCCACTTCCACCGGGGAACCTCAAGGGGCTGCAACAACCCTCTCGGTTTCTGGCGCTCAGCCTTCACTTGCTGACACACCAGACACCCATCCACGAACTTCGCTACTTGCCTCTTCATGCCTCGCCACCAGAAAGATTTCCTCAGGTCCTGATACATCTTCGTGCTACCAGGATGGATGGTGTACGGGGCACTATGGGCCTCTCTCAAAATCTCCCTTCGCAGTTCCCACACCTTCGGAACACAAAGTCTACCCGCGAAGAACAAGGCCCCATCAGATGCGACTACGAATCCTCCAACTCTACCGGCTTCTGACAACTTTCTCATCCGGCATAGGAAACGGTCATTCGGTTGCTCGGTGACTATCCTCTCACAAAGAGTCGGTCTCACAACCAAGGCGGTCAACACACCCCGGCTGTCGTAGTCGACTCCACTGCTTCTAGCTATAGCCGCTCGAACTCCCGAAGAAGAACATCCTGCCCGGTGAATAAGCAAGACAGCTGGCCATAACTCCTCCGACTAAGGGCATCGGCTACCATGTTAGCTTTCCCAGGGTGATAGCTAATGGTGCAGTCGTAGTCCTTGACCAGCTCCAACCACCTACGCTGCCTCATGTTCAGCTCCTTCTGAGTGAAAATGTACTTCAGGCTCTTGTGGTCGGTAAAGATCTCACACTTCCCTCCATAGAGGTAGTGCCGCCAAATCTTCAAGGCATGGACAACTGCAGCTAACTCCAGATCATGAGTGGGGTAGTTCTGCTCGTGAGGCTTCAGCTGCCTCGAAGCATAGGCTACGACTCTCCCTTGCTGCATGAGAACACAACCCAAGCCCATCTTCGAAGCATCACTATAGATCGTGAACTCCAAAGTAGGGTCGGGTATGGATAGGACGGGCGCGGTAGTGAGTCTCCTCTTCAACTTCTGGAAACTCTCCTCGCATTTCTGACTCCAATCAAACCTCACGGCCTTCTTCGTAAGGTTGGTTTGTAGATGGGCTATCTTCGAGAAGCCCTCGATAAACCTCCTGTAGTATCCTGCTAACCCCAGGAAACTACGAACATCAGCGGCACTTCTTGGCGTATCCCACTTGCTCACCACCTCGATCTTGTTGGGATCCACCTCAATGCCTCTCGCCGTCACAATGTGGCCAAGGAACGCCACACGGTCTAACCAGAACTCGCATTTCGAAAATTTTGCATACAACTTCTCGCGGCGAAGGGTTTCCAGCACAATCCTCAGATGCTCCTTGTGCTGGTCAATGTCTCGGGAATAAACCAGGATGTCGTCGATGAACACAATGACAAACTGGTCCAGATAAGGATGAAAGACCCGGTTCATAAGGTCCATGAAAACTGCTGGGGCATTGCTGAGTCCGAACGGCATAACAACGAACTCATAGTGGCCATAGCGGGTACGGAAAGCAATTTTAGAAATATTCGACTCCCGGATCTTCAGCTGATGATAGCCAGACCGCAAATCCATCTTTGAGAAGACGATGGCTCCTCTCAGTTGGTCGAAGAGATCCTCAATACGAGGAAGGGGGTACTTGTTCTTGACTGTAAGGGTATTCAGCTCCCGGTAGTCAATACACATACGCATGGATCTGTCTTTCTTCTTCACGAATAGGACGGGTGCACCCCACGGCGAAACACTCGGTCGAATAAAACCGAGTTTGAGCAATTCCTGGAACTGGGCCTTAAGCTCTTGAAGCTCCTTGGGTGCCATACAGTAAGGGGCCTTAGACACGGGGCCAGCTCCCGGTACTAAGTCAATTGTGAACTCCACTTGGCGGTCGGGTGGTCCTCCGGGAATCTCATCGGGAAAAACATCAAGGAATTCACAAACAATAGAAACTCGCTCCGGAGTACGCTCGGAATCATCCTCGAACACCATAGAAACAAGATAGCCTTGGCAGTTACCCTTGGAAAGGCTCTTCCTAGCTTGCATAGAAGGATGACTCGAGGCACAGTCCTCGACTTCACCCCGAAGAATACAACCAGCTGATCAGAAATGGGAAAGAGAGTGACTTCGCGCTCCTGGCACCGGATGTCAGCTCGATAGCGGGTGAGCCAGTCCATGCCCAAGATCACATCGAAGTCCCGCATTTCAATCACATAAACACTGGCCTCCAAAATATGCCCACCAATACTAACTGGAAGACTGGGAATCATAGAATCGGAAATAATAATCTTTCCCGAGGCTAGACTAACCTCGAGAGGGTCATAAGAATTCACAGTGCTAGTAGAAAAGGCCTCCAAGCAACGTGAAGAAATAAAAGAATGGGTAGCACCAGTATCACACAATGCAAAGACAGGCACGTTGGATATCGAAAGCATTCCGGAGATAGTACCTGCGTTGTTGGCTGCCTCATCAGGAGTGATGGTATACACGCGGGCCTAACCCCCAGCCCTCTGCTGGTAAGGTGGGGGCTGTCTGGGCTGCTGCTGATGGGGTGGAGGTGGAAGATGATGCTGCTGCTGAGGGTAGGGTGGCTGCTGCTGTGGCCTCTTCGGCTCGAGGCACACATGCGAAAATTGTCCGACACGGTGGCAATTGAAACAGTGTCTGTCAGCTGCTCGACACTCTCCTGGCCCATGGAACTTGCCGCAGGTAGGGCACCTCGGAAGTTTTCCCTGAGGGGGTCGGTCGTCACGCCTCCGGAAGTTCCCTTTCTTTCCTTTCTTCTTGTTCTGATGGTAGTCGGCCTTCCTCTTGCCCGAATTAGAACCGGGCGCAACAGCTGAGATAGGCTGAATCATAGGGGTCTGCTGATAGGATGGGGCAGTCGCCCTCTGGGCATTCTGGCAAACCTCCAACTCGGTATCTCGACGAACCATCTCGGAGTAAGGCAGAGCTCCGTGGCCAATCAGGGTGTAACAAAGGTCGGGGCGAAAACCATCACAGAAACGAAAGGCCTTCTTCTGGTCGGTATCCACGAGCATCGGGGCAAATGCGCACATACGAGTGAAGTCGCGCTCGTAGACATCCACGGGACGGGGTCCCTGCTTGAGCTCCCAGAAGTCCTTCAGCATCTGGGCACGGTGAGCCTCTGGGTAATACTTGTCCTTGACTATAGTAACCATCTGGTCCCAAGTCAATGCATCCCTCTCAGCACGAGGACGAAGCCTCCAATAGTCATTCTACCAAGTCCTAGCATCTCCGGTCATCACGAACGAGGCACAGCGGATTTTCACCTCATCAGTGGTGAACAACAGATCAAAAATACTCTCCAGTTGCTGAAGCCATTCAACCACAGCTTCGGGGCCCTCAACTCCGGTGAACGCAGGAGGATACATGTTACGGAAATCGATCACAGCTTGGGTAATGGGATCTCTACCCGTAGCATGCTGATGAAGAGGAGGAGGAGGAGGTAGGGGAGGTGGTTGCTGCTGATTGCTATTGTGCGTTTGACAAGCCATTTCTCTACATTGAAAAATGAGCCGCAAAGATTTAGCACAAAAATAAAATGAGTCTAGAGTTCGACCCTATAGTTCACATTTTAAAGGTGGATAAAACCTAACCCCAAATATTAGCATTAAATCACTCAAGTATATACCAATACTTATTTAAAACATACCTTAAGCAGTGCGGCATGACGAAGACGAGTGGTCAACACACACGATCAATTCACATAATCACTTAATCACATATAAACCAGTCTACAGAAACGCAGACTGTCTCTGATACCAAACTGTAACGCCCCAAAGATTTATTAAAGACAATTCTGGATTTATCAAAAAAAAATCTTGTTTTAAAATTTCGAAAACCATTTATCGATTCATAAAACATTTGGCGTTACTTGAGAACTTTCCAAAGTTAAACACATAATCAGCATAAGGGAAACGAGAATATTCAACATAATTCAAGTTCCAAGACTAGATTTCAACATATCTAGTAATAGGATTGTCAACATAATCCAAACTGATAAAAATATTCCACATGGTTCAACAGTTCAACCAATCCCGAAAGCAATAGGGATTAATAACAAAGTCTGATAATCTTAACATAAATATCAAAGTAAGCGAAAGCAATATAAAGAAATAATAATGTTTGACCACCCACTCGTATTCAGTCTCGTCATGCCCAACACTTGCTTAACCTGCATCAATGAAGAGCAGGCGATGAGCACAAATATAAACGAGGTGCTCACCACTATGCATAATCTATTGGTAAGAATCCTATACTCGAGTCATATGCAAGTACATGGTCAAAGACATAATGTTGTAAATATTTTTTTACCGGAGTAGAATCGAAAGATTCGACACCGGGTCGTATCGCAAGGAAGGTTAACCGGATTATTAAGCACGTTTACTCAACACATTTAAAAGAAATAAAAGAAATAAAATTCCTAAACATTCTAAATCGAATAATTGGATGGGTTTTTGTTATCAATTATTGCAAATAATTAAATAAAGCAGAGAAAGTAGTAAGCAAGGACGAAGAACAATTATGATAAAAGCGCTAGGGTATCGGGGATTTCGCTTCCGGTTCTCAATGCATTCAGCAAGCAATGGATTACTCGGCTAAAGGACTCAATAAACTAACTCATCCAGAGATTCATTCTCAATATTTCACGAAACAAGAGAATAATTATAAATAAATCATTAACGAATCAATTAGCACATAGACAATATGTTACCAAACAAGCCTATTCTTAACGAGCCTAGATCGAACAATTTATCCCCTTTCGGTTTCTAAATTGATTAATTAGATTAAGATGGATATCAAGCATCTAAACCCTAGGTTAAGCACAACTCGGAAAGATGAGCAATTACCAAGCATTTAAACGAAATCGAACCGGAACGATAATCCCCTACCCCTAGCTAATGAATTTAGCTACTCATTATGCACTCAACATCAACATATTCAATAATCAAAGCCATCTCAATCGAAAGGAAAACAAAAGTAAAGCTTACGATTAACGAATCCAATGTCGAGAACAATAGAAAAACCAAATCCAAGAGTCAAATCTCTAAGTTTTCACCCTCAAGATTGATCCCCAAGAGAAACCAGTGAAAAATATGGGTTCTGAAACTTATTTCGTACGAGAAAGAACAAAACCTAACTTAGAACATAATGAAAAACGATCCCAAAATCTGACTTAAAAAATCTGTAAGTCACGGCCTTCGCGGGCCGCGGAGCATCTCGCAGGGTACGGCGAAGAAGCTCCGCGGCCGCGACTAACCCCCGAGGCCGCGGGGGAGCCTGGACTGAAGTGCTGATCGCCTGCGACATTTTGTTCGCCGCGGCCGCGGTGAAGGAACCGTCGCGGGCCGCGGTGAGTAAAACTGGGCAGTGAAAATTTGTTCTCCGCGACCTCGGGAGCATAGTCGCGGGCCGCGGTGAAGGCTGTTTTCTGGCAATGTGTCGGTTTTTGGCTTCGTACACACGCATTCATATATGGAATCGAATTCCGTCTTTTCTTACTCGACCCTTACTCATCCATCTATATAGTAGTCCACGCATGGTCATTCATCGAGCGACTCAACCTCCACATCACCACCGACAAGAAACGCATGAAAAATTGGAGAAGAGAAACAAAAAGACCAAAAATGAACAAAACAAAGGAAATGCAAGACGAGACTCAAAATGGACCAAAAGCTAAAAAGAAATACCTAGATTGGGGAAAAATAAACATAAAATAAACACGAAAACACTAACAAAAATGGAACGAATAACTCCCCCACACTAAAGCTATTGTTCGTCCCGAACAATAAAAAGAAAAGAAAAAGCAATAAAACAAGCAAAAGAGAGTGGACACTGGTTTCAAACGAGAAAAGTCTCAAATTGATCAACTAAGTTGAAAAGAATTCCAATGACCTCAAGAACACACCATGACAATGAACTCAATCACATGCTAACACAAACTCTCTAGTACGGAGATATGATGATAATGCCTCACTCATTTTTTTTTGCAAAAATAAAAGACAGGAGCACTCAAATTGGTCATCAGTCAAGTCGATTATAGATTTGCCTATCGACTAACTTCTACTCTAAAACAATCAAATTTATAAAACAATGAATCAAGAGGTCTTTAAGGGTTGTAATGTAGGCTCTTTGGACAGGGTAGGAAACATATAGGCTAAGTGGCTCAAAATAAATCAACTCAACTCTGCACCCAACCATATCAACAAACACCTCCAGTTGTCACCAACCGGCTCCTCCCACTAACTCCAAGACCAACATACATCCCAAGCATTTTTTTTTACGCGAAAACCATTTGGACGTCTTATCTAGGTTTAGCCTTCGGGTTTTCAGCCCGAGTCTCCTAGACCGGTTCCCTGTACTCATGGCTCTTATCCACTACATTAGTGGACGTAGCGCTAGGAGTATAATCCATTTGGCTTTCCCATTTTTTTTTTCAAAGCAAATAAACATATATACAATGCAATCAACTATCACCTCCAACATACAACCCGCAACTCAATATCATCATCACGATGTTAATCAATAAAATCGATCAAGGCTCAAAGGGGGTAACTAGCGACTGTTATTCACAAAAATGAAAAGGAAAAGGATAATACAAGAAATGCCTCAATCATATTCATGTTTCACAAATCTAATCGAGTTATTTCATAGCAGTCTCAAGGCAAATTCTACTTGACAAGATTCTGACCAATATCACACGAAAAACAATAAAGGCTCAAACCTCACCAGGTAAATATGTATGAGTGTTAATCAAAGCAACCGAGCCACAAATCAAAATATGCCACTCAAGATCATCATCACAACTTCTTAACGTCGTTAAACAATCATAAACTAGTCTCGATATTCACCAATGTCCAACTCAAAAACACATAAACCTAAACTAGACTGGTCCACCAACAAGAGAAAGACATAAAATCAACCCTAAAAACACATAGTCACGCAAGCACGTAAACTCCCCCACACTTAAAATCAGACAATGTCCCCATTGTCGATTCGCAGTGAAAGAGAGTAGACCATATAGTTAACCGACACGAAAAGAGCAAACTATACAAAAATAAAAGAGAAAAGGGAAAAGAAACATACTAAGCACAGTGACAAGTCACTGTGCATTCGGAGGTGGCGGTGGTGGGTAGGGCTGACTGGGTCCCGAGCCCCAATGGGTGTCCCACTGGGTGAACCTCTGATCCCAGCTGTCCAATCGAGCATCCTGCTGGTCCTGCCGCTCTCGAATAGACCGAAGGCTATCACCGAAGCCATCGAAGCGCGTGTCCATCTGAGTCCAGTGGGTCTGCTGCTGGGTGTCTCAATGATCCCACTAAGTCTGCTGGTGGGTCTCCCAGCCAGTCCACTGGTTGGCCTGACGGCTCTCGAAACCGTCCAGTCGGGCATCCTGGGCATCAAAGCGGTCGTGGATGGAGCGGATGTCAGCTGTGTACTGTGTCTGGAAGGCGGTCCACCATCCCGGTGGCTGCTGTGGAGGTGCTTCTGGCTGCAGAACCGGGGCCGGTGTTCACACGGGAGGAGGTGGTAGTCAATGGTCGTCATCGATGTTCATCTGTGCATGCTCGTCGTCTCCCGTCGGCTGGCGAGACGACCCTGGCTGATCGGCGGTAGGCGCACCCTGCTGGAGCCTTTTGAAGTATGTACTGTAAGCCTGGCGCTGAGTATACTCCTGAGCAGTAGTCCGGTTCTTGATTAGGTCAGCCTGCTTGAGCTCTGCGAAGTTAATACAATGCATCTGAATCGTGTCCTGAACCCCCATCTCACCAAATAATTTGTAGGGCTGTGGAGTGACTCCGAAGTGACGGGCGAGTGCCGTAATAAAATGACCAATGGCCGGTGCTCCACGCCGGTTGAGTGCAATTTCTTGCAAGGTGTTATGCAAGAAGGTCATGGAACATACTCGCACTCCCGCTCTCATTTCCCATAAGAGAAAAAGCTCGACCTCACTGACCTTGTTCGCCTCCTTTTTTCCGGAGATGTTGTAGCAGATGAACCGATGAACTACAGCAGTGGCCAGGTCCTGAATAAGCCCATTGGACATACCGGCAGAGACCCAAGTCGTATGCGGGGAGAGTTCGGCCCAACACTTGTGGGGGTCGAAGTCAATGGCCTTGCTACGCGTACCGGCAATGGTGAACCCGCAAACATGTTTCATGATGGCGTTGTCCACTGTAAA